GTGCTGGAGTAAAAGGTGGCACCTTAACCCACCAGGCCACAGTGCCAGCCCCCTGTTATTTTCACTTTCATTGAAGTATATTATGTATACAGAAAATACATGGTCCCTAAGTATAGAGCTTTAAGAATTTTTATAAATTGGATATAGGTAACCAGCACTGTATGGGGTCCCTGTTATATTTATTTGCTTCATTTGCTTCTTACAGCAGCTCATTGAGGTGTATGGATTTCTGAGGCTTAAAAAGCCAAGTGCTTTGCACCATGTTACAGCTAGTAAACAACACAGCTAGGATTCTAAGGAAGGCTCTGAGGTGTACATGAAACCTCAGGCTGAAATTGATTTATTGGTGTGTGTGATTGTAGAGGCTGGACCATTAGTTCTGCTTGGGAATTGTGTGTAGTCTTTGAAACAGAAAAATCTGACTAATTCTAGAAGGTATAAGAGTCCCTGAATTGGATCTTAGAGCATGAATTTAGATTTGCCAAAGAATGAAAAGCTCCTTGGTAAGAAGTACCAGGGAGAGAATATGGTATAATTTCAGAGGATGGAAGGTAATTTGTTGTACTTAACAATAGGGTCTTTAGACTCTGTTACAATAATATGGTCTTATTAGAATAATAATTCTCACCTCAAATGCAATGGACTTTGTTCCCTGTTTTGGAAAATTTGAATTTTTATAATTTGTGCAGTAAAACATGAGAGTTAATCACAGCTGCATTTTAGCAAAAGTTTTCACAGTGGTTTATAATATAGGTTAGAAGGACTGAAGGTAGAATGAACGAGTCTTATGCTCCAGAACTACAGCACCAAGGATTAAGAGGAAGGGAGGGCATGGAATTCATGAAGACATTCCAGACAGAATTGATGAAATCTGTGTACCGTTAGAGGTGGGTGATGAGGGAAGAAGAAGAATTAAGGATGATTCTGAGTTTACTGTTCATGTGATCCATTGGATAGCAAGATTAGGAAATATTGGAGAAGTTGTTTTGCTTTGTTATATGTGAGTGGGATGAAGTGAGGGTTGATTGGGGTAATGGTAGGAGAATGAAAAATGAATGAATTGGGCTATGCAAGTTTGAGTTTCAGACCTTAAGGAATTAAAGTGGAAATGTTAAGTAGGGGTTTGGAAATAATTGGAAGGAAGTTATAATGGTGGCTAGAGAGGTGGATTTGATCAGCACTAAATAGTTTCTTTCTTTTTTTTTTTTTAAGCTTTATTTGTTTGAAAGAGTTACACAGAGAGTGAAGGAGAGGCAAAGAGAGAGAAAAAGAGGTCTTCGAGGCACTGGTTCACTCCCCAATTGGCCGCAATGGCCAGAGCTGCACTGGTCTGAAGCCAGGAGCTTCTTCTGGGTCCCCCATGCAGGTGCAGAGGCCTAAGGACTTGGGCCATCTTCTGTTGTTTTCCCAGGCCACAGCAAAGAGCTGGATTAGAAGTGGAGCAGCCAGGACTTGAACCAGTGCCCATATGGCATGCCAGCACTGCAGGCGACAGCCCTACCCGCTACGCCACAGCGCCGACCTCTAATTAGTTTCTAAAAATAGATTGTGGTTATGGGACTCAGGTAAAAAAGAAAAGGTGCAACAGAAGAGTTGGAAACCTCCCATATTTCAGGAAACCATGGAAGAGGAGCAGTTACCATGGAATGAAAACATTAAGGATATAGGTATAGCTTGACAAAGCCAGGAAAGATCATTTTCAAGGAAAATAATGCAATAGATTGTATATTTTATTAGTAGGTCAAATAAGATGAGTACTGAAAACAAGTTGGCTATAACATTTGGTAATTTGGAAAAGCATTGATGAGTGTGAACCAGATACTTGATTATTTCAAAACAAGTTTACTGAGAGTTAATATAGTCAGTGTCAGGGCTGGTGCTGTGTTGTAGCAGGTAAAATTGCCACCTGCAGTGCCGGCATCCCATATGGTTACCGGTTCAAGTCTCAGCTGCGCCACTTCCAGTCCTGCTCTCTGCTATGGCCTGGAAAAGTAGAGGATGGCCCAAGTGTTTGGACTCCTGTACCTGTGTGAGAGACCCAGAGGAAGCTCCTGGCTCCTGGCTTCGGATAGGCCCAGCCCCAGCCATTGCAGCCATTTCGGGAGTGAACTAGCGGGTGGAAGACCTCGACCTCTCTCTGCCTCTGCTTCTCTCTAACTCTGCCTTTCAGATAAATAAATCTTTAAATATATGTATATAGTCAGTGTCAACAAATACCAGATAACTAAGCTATCTGTAAGTAAAACCACCTCAACTAGATTTGTAGTTAAGGACACCTTGGACACCTAAATATTCACTACATCAAGTGATAATTTAAGTGATTACCTGAACTAAGAATATGGAATCTTTAAGCAACTGAAGAGCAAGCATTTTTTACATTTAACCAGCACTTTGACAGAATAATATTTGTATTACTAGAGAGATGTTCTTTATTAGGTAAGGAAAGTTTTTCAGGCTATTTAATCACTTAAGTGATTACCACTCTTCTTGAGGTCCCTGATAAAACTTGTGATTTTTTTTTTTAAGATTTATTTATTTATTTGAGAGGCAGAGTTAGAGACAGTGGAGAGGAAGAGAGAGGTCTTCCATCCACTGGTTCACTCCCCAAATGGTCATAACAGCTGGAGCTTGGCCAATCCTAAGCCAGGAGCTTCCTCTGGGTCTCCTATGTAGGTGCAGGGACTCAAGCACTTGGCTATCCTCCACTGCTTTCCCAGGTCAGAAGCGAACCGGCACCCACATGGGATGCCAGCACTGCAGATGGAGGTTTAACCCACTATGCCACAGCACCAGCCCCAACTTGTGATTTCCAAACACAGTTTTTTCCTAAACAATCTGAAAAATTATTGGCTGTTAAAGAACAGAATATTCAGATCTTAATTGTTCACCTATTTTGTCCTTTGATGCCTTTTCAAAAAGGATTTTACTTTATCCTGAGCTTTGTACATAGAACAGATTCTTTTCATATGCTTCATAACTGCCTTTTGGTTTATTAGAGAGATTGATGTATTTGAGGGAAAGCAGGAGAGAGAGAGAGAAGAGAGGACTCCCATTGCCTGTAATGGCCAGGACTGGGCCAGACCAAAGCTCAATCCAGGTTTCCCTTTATGGGTTGCAGGAACCCAACTACTTGAGTCATCACTGCTGGCTCCCATCTGCATTAGCAGGAAGGGAGAATCAGGAGCCAGAGCTGGGAGTTGACCATGTACTCCAAGGTGCTACACAAGCATCTTAACCACTTAGGCCAAATGCTTGCCCTTGAAACTGACTCCTTAGAAAAACTGTCCTTTCATCTTCTTATACCTGACAGGCTATTGAAAAGATTCAACAATCTGATAAAATGAGTTTAACTTTGAGCCTCTTGTAATGTAACAGGGAAGAAAACTTTCTTAAGATCACATGCTTTGCAATTCCAGTTGATTTTCAGTTCACTAGAACCTTAAACATTCATAACATTTTGAACAAATAAAGCATTTCCTAAAACAAAACCATGTATTTACAGTTTTTTTTTTCATTTGTTACTGGACATTTTTACATTCTTTAGCTTTTCTTTTTTTTTTTTTTTTTTTTTTTTGGGGTTTTTTTTTTTTTTTTTTTTTTTTTTTTTTTTTTTTTGACAGGCACCATTAGATAGAGAGAGACAGAGAAAGGTCTTCCTTCCATTGGTTCACCCCTCAATGGCTGCTACGGCTGGCGCGCTGTGCCGATCCGAAGCCAGGAGCCAGGTGCTTCTTCCTGGTCTCCCATGCAGGTGCAGGACCCAAGCACTTGGGCCATCCTCCACTGCACTCCGGGCCACAGCAGAGAGCTGGACTGGACCAAGAGGAGCAACCGGGACTAGAACCCAGCACCTAACCAAGTGAGCCATGGCGCCGGCCCCATACATTCTTTAGCATTTTGTCACTAGAACCCAGCCATTCAGTAGTGCCTTCTCTGTACCATATGATAGATAACAGGTAACAATATAGTGATAATCTCTTTTCTCTTGGAGATAATAATCAAGAAGACATTTGAAATGCCTAGTTTGTCACTCTTTCAGAAAGATCTCTATTCCTTTAGTCTAATTAAATGTCTTGCTACTCTTTATCATAGCACTTCAGTCTTTTCTTTCAAATCATAGTTATTTTAATATTGAAAATTACATTATGTATATGTGTGTATATATATATATATATCATTTGAGTGTTCATTTTGTTTCTCTGCCTACACTAAACTTTAAGTTCCATACACAAGAACCATACTAGTTTTCCACTCTGTCTTCAAATCTCTAGTGCAGTCAATGCTTAACATTCAGCAAAGACTTTGAATTAGTCAGTGAATGATGACTATCTAGTATTTTGTAAAAGTGCAGGATGCTGTCAATTAAGCAGACTTAACTCCAGTGTAAGAATAAGGAGTATTTTTTAGAGGACCTGAAAATGAATAGAAAGGAGGTGTTGTCTTCAATACCCAGTTCTCCATAGCATGTAGGGGATATATAGGGAATTCCTTTGAATTTAAGAATCTGGACATTATACCAGACCTGAATGAAGTCAGTTTTAGTAGAATGAAGGAATACAATTCAGATTATAGTTGCTCATTAGATTAGCAAGAAAACAGCAAGCATTTCACTTGTAAGATAGGTCTCAAATACCTATTGTTTAGGGAATATGATACAATGAACCACAAAAAGAAGAAATTATGCTTTAAATATTTTCAGTATTATGCAAAAGGCATAAGTGAATGAAACTTACTACATGAGTGTTGTGGGACAGCTACTTGGAGTACTTGACTAATTGTCCTTTCACAGGAAACATTGAGTGAATAAGAAAGGGTGAACAACTTCCACCTAGATCTTCAGTCATTGAATTTCTCAATAAATTAGAATACAGAGAAGTTGTGGTAGGTTGCACACAGAGCACCAGAATCCCTGGCTACCACTTGTCCTTTCACTTTTGTAAAGTGTTTCTTAGTTTGTGTGAGTTTTGTCTCTTAATTGTTTTTACGTTTTTAACTTTCAGGTGTTGGTAAATCATGCTTATTGCTACAGTTTACGGACAAGAGGTTTCAGCCAGTGCACGACCTTACTATTGGTAAGTTTTACAAAAGAAATGAGAAGCATGAAAATTTTTGAATAGTTTAAAGATGCTAGAGGGTCCATTCTTGTGGTGATAATTCCAGAATCAGTAAAATCAGACTTGTTGCCTTTGAGAGTTTGGTCTCCTTTTCTTTTTTTCTTTTTTTTTTTTTTTTTAATGTGTAGTAAAAACATTTACCAAACTTGGGAATGGTAGAATGCAGAGAATGCAAAAAGACATTTATATTAAAATTTCTGTTACATCTCTTGGTGAGGCAAGCAATTGAAAGACAAATGGAGCATTGTGGTACAAGTGGGAGAACTGGACCAGCTTGCTCAATATTGTTGAATCAAGATGCTACCACTAACCAGCTGGGCAAGCCACTTCACCATTTGTTATCTAAGTTTCTCTGTCTATACAAGGAGAATAATAGTAGTACCAACCCCAACGAGTAGTAAATAAATGTAAAACATTGGAACAGTGCCTAGTACTGTTGTAGACTTACCTATAATTACTAAGAAAAGTACCATTTTATAGTTGTGAATAGTAAAGATAATTACTGGTAACAAATAGTCAACAGATATTAGCTGTTATTATGTAAAATACTGGTATTACCTAATTTTTATTAGTATACAAAGTTGTAAAGGAGTAAAACACTAAAGTTTAGATAGTCATTCTGTTTGGAGGTTCTTGTTTGTTTAAAAATTACATCCTGAAAGCCAAAGAATCAAGTTGGGTTATTCTTCTAAGTCTATTTTAAGAGCTAGAACTTAGTAAAATATGCAGAAAAAAGGTAATTTGACAGCTAGTTACTGTTTACAACTGATTATTTATTTTTTGTTATTGTTTGGCAAATAGAGTTATACAGTGAGAGAGAGAGACAGAGACAGAGAGAAAGGTCTTCCTTCCGTTGGTTCACTCCCCAAATGGCCACTATGGCTGGAACTATGCCAATCTGAAGTCAAGAGCTAGGTGCCTCCTCCTGGTCTCCTGTGCCAGTGCAGGGGCCCAAGCACTTGAGCCAACCTCCACTGCCCTCCTGGGCCACAGCAGAGAGCTGGACTGGAAGAGGAGCAACTGAAACTAGAACCCGGCACCCATATGGAAGGATTAACCAAGTGAGCCACGGCACTGGCCCCTACAACTGATTGTTTAATAAATCTTTAGCCAATGACTACCTATTTGCCATTGATTTTATTAACTTGCTATTTATAGCATTGCTCTCATATCCTATGTATTTTTTAAAATATTATTTATTTACTTATCTGAAAGGCAGAGTTGCAGAGTGAGAGAGGTCTTCCATCTGGTAGTTCACTCCCCAAATGGCCACAACAGCTGGAAATGCGCCGATCCAAAGCCAGGAGCCTGGAACTTCTGGGTCTCCCGCATGGGTGCAGGGGCCCAAAGACTTGAGCCATCTTCCACTGCTTTCTCAGGCCATAGCAGAGAGCTAGATTAGAAGTGGAGCATGGCCGGTGCCGCGGCTCACTAGGCTAATCCTCCGCCTACAGCACTGGCACCCCGGGTTCTAGTCCCAGTTGGGGCGCTGGATTCTGTCCCAGTTGCTCCTCTTCCAGTCCAGCTCTCTGCTGTGGCCCGGGAGTGCAGTGGAGGATGGCCCAGGTCCTTGGGCCCTGCACCCACATGGGAGACCAGGAGGAAGCACCTGGCTCCTGGCTTCGGATCGGCACAGCGCGCCGGCCATAGCGGCCACTTGAGGGGGGGGGGGGGCGGGTGAACCAATGGCAAAAGGAAGACCTTTCTCTCTCTCTCTCTCTCTCTCTCTCTCTCTCTCACTGTCTGTCCCAAAAAAAAAAAAAAAAAAAAGGAGCAGCTGGGACTTGAACCAGTGCTCATATGGGATGCCAGCACTGTAGGCAGCAACTTTACCTGCTACTCCACAGTGATATCCTCCCTATTTTTTTTTTTTTTTTAAGATTTATTTATTTATTTGGAAGAGTTACAGAGAGGCAGAGAGAGAGAGAGGTCTTCCATCTGCTGGTTCACTCCCCAGTTGGCTGCAGCGGCTGGAGTTGCGCCAATCTGAAGCAGGAGCTTCTTCTGGATCTCCCACATGGGTGCAGGGGCCTAAGGACTTGGGCCATCTTCTGCTTTCCCAGGCCATAGCAGAGAGTTGGATTGGAAGTGGAGCAGCAGGAACTCAAACCAGCACCCATATGGGATGCGGGCACTGCAGGTAGGGGCCTTAACCTGCTGTGCCACTGTGCTGGCCCCCTCTCCTATGTATTTTTAAAATGCAAATTCAAATATAGAAGAGTGTCAAATTATTAGATTAATAGATTTAAATAAACCACTTGTATTTTATGGATATATTAAAACCTTTCATTTGTAGCTGTCAGTAAGACTGTTCATACTCTAATTTTGGTGCCTTCAAGTATATATGTGAGTACTTCAGAAAGTTCTTGAAAGATGGTATTGTAAATTCAAAAAAATTGAAATCCATGCATACTGTATCATAATGATGGATAAAATGGGCAATGCTGTTTCATCCTGGTTCTCAGGACTTTTAACTTTTGGGAACTCATTTTTGTTTAGGATCTGCTCTTTGCTCAATAGATTAGTACTAAGACAACTAGCCAAACAGTATTGGATGCTAAACAAAATCTTAACTATAAATTTCTGATACATACTGGCATGCCCATTGGAGAAGATAGGCCTATGCCTATTGTCAGAAATTGGCATAGGTTATTCTTTGTAGAAATATGAGGGAGCAGACCAAAGAGACATCCTAACTCAGCTAAAGCAAAAGTAGAATTTATTGTTTTTACTATTCAGGAGTGTCCCACATAACCTGAGGGCAGAGAGGCAGCCGTATCAGCCTGGAACAAGAGCTTAGAGCTCTTAATGGCGGGAGCACAGGAAGTTCTGTGTCTCCATTTCACATCCTTCCTTTCTTGTCCCTCTCTTTTTTCCCTTTGCCAGTTCCATTTCTTTCTTATTGATCAGTAATTGTATTTTTTCTGTCTCCATGCTGGGAAACCCTTGCTATCAATAGCTCCAAAGTTCGTATCCCCTGCTAGAGAGTAGATTCTCTTATACTCAATTCCAGGTTCCTTAGCTCATTGGCTTAACTTGCTTCAGGTCCCTTCACCCTTTGTTCTTTCAGCTTCGGCCATGGGTCCAAAGTCATACTCTGTACAACAATGGTAACAAATTGGAGGGGGGTACAGTTTTATCAATAGTCATAAATAGCCATCCCCATAATTCCCTCACATATAGCCATCCTAACTAGTCCTTATGTGCTTGTCTTTAGTCTAATGTAATAATCACTTCTCTGCTGTATCACTGACTCCTACATTTCTGATTTTTCTGTCTCCCACTTTTGCTTTCTGTTTTTACTAACACATAATAATACCATATCCCATCAAGTTCTTACTGCTCTTTCCAGTACTTTTTTACACTCTAACTTTTCTTCTCATAGTGTACCATTATTTGATAGCTCCACTCACGGAAGTTCTTGCGTAAACAACTAAGTGTGCTTACCCAGACTATAATTCCTACTTATAGGAAATGAGATTTGTATGCCCATGCTGTGGGGAAGCATTGTTGACTGGAACAGAAGAACTATAAAACGTGCTGAAAAACAGCCAAGATAGAGTAACTGTATAGGCCAGAGCTGAGGAATGCCCCACCCAAAGGCTGTATAAGTTCTCTGAAATCATTTGATTTGGGCCTGCCAGGGCAATCACAGGTGGGACTCAAAATGCAATAAATCAATAGCAGGCTAATTTTTAAGTTGATAATTTTGTACGGCCCACAAATGATGTTTTAAATATCCAGATGGCCTTGGCAGAGAAAAGGTTCCCCACCTCTGATTTGGGTACTCAGTTTCAACATAATGCTGAGCACCAACTTGGGTGATAAATGGTGGTGTCCATAGTAGGTCCTGTGTTAGGACTTCTTTGTGATCAGAGTCATTCCCCCTAAAAAGGCAAAGTAAATCTTATGGAAGATAATTAAAGGTGGTTCAATCTGTTACTTGCTGTGTGTTCAGGTAAACTACATCCAGTGGACTTTCACAAGGTAGATAAATCATAGTCTGACCATTATCAGAGTAAAGATGGTAGCTACCATGAACTTATCTTTTAAACTTGAATTTCATTGTAGGTCCTGTGAAGTGGATGTGTGTGTATTCAACCCAGGCACTGTGCAAAGGGTCTCAATATTTAGTATGTCTCATGATACTTTAGAAAATCCATAAATTTCTCTGAAATAAACTGAACTATTTAAGATCATATAACTGTTCTCAAAACACTAATAGGGCCGGCGCCGCGGATCAATAGGCTAATCCTCCAGCTAGCGGCGCCGGCACACCAGGTTCTAGTCCTGGTTGGGGCGCTGGATTCTTTCCTGGTTGCCCCTCTTCCAGGCCAGCTCTCTGCTGTGGCCCGGGAAGGCAGTGGAGGATGGCCCTGCACCCCATGGGAGACCAGGAGAAGCACCTGGCTCCTGCCTTCGGATCAGCGCGCCAGTCGTGGTGGCCATTGGAGGGTGAACCAACGGCAAAAGGAAGACCTTTCTCTGTCTCTCTCTTTCACTATCCACTCTGCCTGTCCAAAAAAAAAAAAAAAACCACTAATAGGTACTTAATGTTCATTATTGATGATGAAAATTAATGCCTTTCCCACTGAAAGGCAATTTTGAAAGTAAAGGCTGATCTAATTGTTTTTCTCACCCCTTCCTGCCTGTAGAGAGTTACATGCAATATAGTTGTTACACATTGAATGCTGCCAGTCAGTCAAGCTAAATTCAGAGCAATAGAAGCAGTATGTATTGTTAATTATTGTTTCTGCTTCTGCAGAAGGCCACTTAACATTTTTGACACCTATCACAGAAATTTATTTTTGAAACATACTGTTAGCAGATTATTAGCACATATTTTTATTTTTTTAAAAGATTTTATTTATTTATTTATGTGAGAGGAAGAGACAGAGAGGTCTTCCTTCTGTTGGTCCACTCCCCAGATGGCCTCAATGGCTGGAGCATGCCGATCT